CTGGCCTGAGATTGTGTCCTGCGAGCTGGGAAATCTCTGCGCAGGGTGAGGCTGAGAGTTGTATCGTCGCGTCCTTGTGATGCTCACGCTCGGTTCAGACTTGTGTATGGTCACGTGGGATTGACGTACAGCGGGTCTGGGCCGGGTGTACGTCACAGCCATTGTTTTGGAAACTATTGTGTTTTATAGACCAGTTATAAACTGAAAACAGACTACTGCTTGTTGAAAACAATAACCAAACATCACATAACTAGTTTCTTTCCTATACAGCAAGACACAGAGAAAGCAGCCCCCTTTAGTCTCCATCCACACCTAGGCATCAGCATTTACACATTTTTCCGTGCATTAGACACGCATATATAAAGACGCGCGTTTTATTGAGCAGATTGAAATGCATTGCTGTGAATGAGCAAATGTGCGCACAAATGTGCCAAACGCTTGTGTCGTGTATTTTCATGCGCATCCATTGACGTCTGTGCAGCCAAACGTGCTGTAATCTGCCCGAATGCCCAGCATTCGGCATTTTACAGCTAGCGACAAATCTCTCACGTGTGAACAGGGGCCATAGAAATGAATGGGATTTCTCGTGTTGAGAGTTTTGTTGCACTTAGCTTTGAGCGTCAAAAAGCCCAGGTGTGAACAGGGTAGATTGGTAGATGAGAAAATGAAAGAAAACTTAGGTAGGAAACAGAATAAGGTATAATAATAATGAAGAAAAATTATAAAAAATTAACATAAGCCTTGGCATACGATTGCTAAAGGTTTTGAAGCACTAACACTTTGATAAGGTTATACAACAATAGGATTTCTCTTATTAAAATTACAATTACAGCACCCTCCCTCTTAGATTGGAAGCCCTCACGGGCAGTGCCCTCCTTACCATTGCGTTGTAATGTGCTCTTATATTGTAAAGTGGTGCGCAAACTGTTGGCGCTATATAAATCCTGTATAATAATAAGAAAGAAGCTATAATGAAAGTTGGTACTATTGGTGCCAACTAGTTAGCAGCATTTTTTTTTTTGTTAAGTTGTTATACGTACATAAACGTGGTCAAGCAGCTAAAAATATATCTCATATTCATTTAGTACCAAGCTGGGATTTCTGATGCCAATAAAAGTGTGTTATGCTTTCACAAACTGTATCCATCAAGCGTAATCAATTACAGAAAATCCCATGAAAGTTAAACAGTGCACGTGATTCTCATCTAGGGGTACTCTGAAGCACTGCCCTCCAACTAGTACAATTCATCTACGGAAGATCACACTACATGCACATGACTACAGACCCTGTGGCTAAAAAATATGGCGACAATGAAGAAAGGGGAGGTTCATGTTATTGAGTACTGAACTTTCTTTCTGTTACAAGTTTTTGGAAATACTTGGAAGACGTTCATGAAGTTTATGGATCTCCAGGTTCCAAGAAGCTCCAATTCAAAATGTAATACTTTGAAATATCATGAATTCTTTTTTTGAAAATGTAACTTGAGCTAAGTATTTTACTTTACTGCCAGTCTAACAAAGGCAACATACTATGCAGTCAGGAGACTGGGAAAGGAAAGTAACAACACTGCATTTTTTAACTGTAGTAGAAACATGGTGTGCCGATTCATGACTATGCAGTATGGCAGAGCTGTGCGAATCACAAAAGGTGGATAAACAGAAACACACTTTTGTACATGGCCGCCTGTGGACCTACAATGTAAATTTTCAGTGCATTTCTGCCACCAGGGAGCCACAGGTGACGCGCACAACCTCCCGTAGAAGTCAATGGCTGTATGCAGGTATATGTTGGACTTGCATGCACCTCTATATGGGCGCAAAACCCTAAACGCAGACCTTCAGCATTCAGAGTTGTGGACATACACATGAACGGATTTACGCAAGTTCAGTGTATACCTGCATACAGCCACTGACTTTTATGGTTATGGGAGGCTGTATGCGCCATCTCTGACTTCCATGTGGCAGAAATGTGCTGGGATTTTGATTGTACAAGAGTCCACATGCAGTTCATCAATTGTGTAAATAGCCTTTTGGCGTGAATCTCAGCTTTAAAGCAGAACTCCAGCAATAATGTTTTTAACCCTTGCAGTGGGGCTATCCCACACTGCAAGGGTTAAGTGCTCATTTTGTCTATCTGCTACAATAAAAAAAAAAAGGAAGTCATACTCACCCAATCCTTGGAGCCAGCTTGCTCTTAGACTGGTCGCTGGAGTCTCTCTCCCCCTCCGCTGCAGCGCTCTAAGGATCCGTGAGTCGTCATGTTCTATACACTGTGTATAGGACGTGGGGACACAGAGGGACATTCCATCGCTGTAGTGGAGGAAGAGACAGGCTTCAGGGATCACAGTAGCAGCCAGTCAGCTCCACGGTTAGGATGAGTATTTTTTTTTTTTTTAGCACCTAAACAAAAACAAGCACTTAAGCCTTGCAGTGCAAGTGTAGCCCCACTGCAAGGGTTAAGAACATTTTTGCACAGAGTTTTGCTTTCAGTTTAAGGCTTTTTTCAGTGAACAAATCCTTTATTAACACTTTATTCATTGAGTGACTATGTCTATACATTGACTGAATAATAGGTGATCAATGCTGACATCTCGCACTATATGTGGAGTAAAACCAGCTACCGGAATGTTTATCCAAGTAGCCATGAGGATGCAAAATAAAGATGTTATTTGCTGTTTCCATTCATGTGGCCATCATGTGTCTGCAATTACGGTCCTTCACACACTAAGGAATGTTAGCTCAGACTACAAACTCTACCCTTCAGATTTGTTCATGCAGGTACATGGTCAAATCTATTCAAGAAGCAATATTTTATTGTGTATAGGCACTTTTATCTACAGAAAAACATTTGATTTGTGTGTACCTGAACAAAATAAAATTGGCTGTAAAGAGGATGCTACATTTATTACAGAGATGCATTCTCCACACAGGCCTTAATGTAAATAAAAACTAATTTCACACGCAAGTGTGTGTGCCTACTACAATCTATATGGATATAGGATATTGATTAAACGTGGTCACACTTGCCAGTAATTTAGGATTTCTTTCCCCAGGGAACAAGTGACAGCATATTTTATGCAGAAGCCAATCAATTAGCAAGCACAGATAAAAGCTTTCCTTCGAGCCATCTCCCATTCCTAAGAACCAGCATGAAGCCGGGCTAGAACTCCCTAAGGGCAGAATTGAGAAACAATCTAACTCATCAATCTATGCGCCTTTTGTGATAAAATTACTGGACGTGCTGGCTGAAGCAGAGATAACCAAGAGAGTACAAAGCCTGGAATCAGGCAGCCCAATTCCTGGATCATGCTGCAACTGCACTGTTGAGTCGTTCATATGGTGACTCAAGAGTCGCTTTTAGAATATTCATCATGAACATTTGAATGCTAGATGACTAATATTTTTATTACGTTATTCATTTCTATATGTCCCTGCGTGAGCAGTTTAAAAATTCGAAACATTATGCAGGAATCATTCAGCTTGACACTTGCACACTGGCATCCAGAGACTATCAGGGGTCAGCTTTATTTTTATACATGGGCTTATCTACTGTACATGTATACTTCTTGGCTGGTATGAAAATGCAGGCTTGTGAATTGAAGCACTACACTTTGTTTAATAGTCCAGATACAGCTTTATTCAATGTAGGGTTGAAGGGGAGAATATAGAAATAGCCAATGCATTTCAGGGGACTTGAACAAGTACCTCTACATCAGGGCTCACCAAGAGAAAATACATCAGGACTATGATTGGCTGGAAATTGGATACGGTTTTGTCCAGTGTGTAAGAATACACAGATCTCTTCAATGGCTGATTTGGCTAGTTTGACATCACCCACAAAAGCAAGCTATAGCAGACAACACCAGAGATATAACAAGGAATGTCCAGGTAGCAAGGCCTTCTGTAGAAGCAGGCATTACATACTAGCGGAGTTTGTTGCATCACCACTTACATGGCTAAAAAAAAAACAAACTACATTTTTCTAAACTTCCCTACGTTAATAAAAGCAAGAGTTCACATAAACACAATAGCATTACTAATATTCTTTATTGTATACTTCTATGGTTTCAGATCAGGTATTTACAACTGGACACAAAAATCAGAGCTCAAACGTAATACCAAAGCACTTTCAATGAAATGCATCTTGCTTCGATGCAAAAATCTTGATTGCAGGTAAATTATAGCTATCATGACTATCCACATCTTGTATATGCATGTTCACATGCAATTACGTGTTTACATGCACTTTTAACATGCGTTTATTGGCGTTCTTGCTCATGCGTTCATGCCAAGTCAAAGAGTGACAGGCAAGAATATAGATCCTATGGTAGAGATGCAGTAAAATGAATAGAAACATAATACATTTCTATGGGCCTACTCAGTGTGTGAAAAACAGCTACTTGTCCATAAAAACATATAATACATTTCTATGGGCCTACTCAGTGTGTGAAAAACAGCTACTTGTCCATAGAAACATATAATACATTTCTATGGGCCTCCTCAGTGTGTGAAAAACAGCTACTTGTCCATAGAAACATAATACATTTCTATGGGCCTACTCAGTGTGTGAAAAACAGTTACTTGTCCTATTCTTCAAAAACATGTTGAGCTGTAAAGCATAAATGTAGACTTGCCACATAGAAAATAGATTTTTTTACAAGAAATGCATACCATACAGGTGTGAATGGGCTCTATGTCCAGTACAGGCATAATGTGAGTAAATGTTATAGCTGAGCAGTTTGATTCTTCATTAAGAACCTCAAACCCTATAGTCAGTCAATCAGCTGGCTGCAGATGCTGCTATTCAATACAAGTAATTCAAATTGCACCAGGGAATTCTGGTGTACAGAACATATAACCAAAGCTGATTTAAAGTTACAGTGCACAGCTCACTCTTAGCAGTATGAAGGCAATAGTAAAAAATCTATATAATATTTTTGATGTAATAGAATATTGTGTTCAAGAAAAAGTAACAGAAAACAACAACAGTAAAGCGCTTACAGGGTCGGCTTGTTCTGGAACTGTGTGTCTTTTCCTCAAAGAAGAAAACCTCTGCTGACTTCTGACTGAAAACCTGCGGAAAGACTCTCGGCTCCGGGAAGCAAAGTGTCGGAAGGACGATGTGCGTTTGAAAGGGTTTCTGCTGCTGGCTTCTATGCTAGTTCTTTCTTGTGTTACAGCAGTCGTAACTAAACTGAAAGCTTCCTGCAAGGACCTCCTCATCGTCCCCATCCACTGGTTCATATGTGTATGTGCCACTGTCAACTTATCTCCAAGGTACTCCATTCTCCGGTATTGCAACAAAAAAAAGTAAAAACTACTAGAAAGCAAATGAAGAGTCAATGCTGACAAGTATGCAGAGTGTCTGCTTTGTTATCCAGGTGAAAAGAAGTACAAAATCATGAAATAGATTTAAAAATAGAAAGACGCTCGCCGTAAATGCTTTGGTGTGAATCAGATTGAAGCATGTGTCCTCATAGCTGCTGGCAATCGTTGGTACACACATACTTTGGCCCTTCTAACCTGAGTAAGTTCCCATCTTCCATACATTCAGCCTACACAGGCACAGAGAGCTGCAGCTGTTCATTTTTCTCCTTCTGTACGATGCTCCTTTGCTCGGATTTGTGCTGGAAACATCTAGTCAAATGGCCCTTCTGCCAAATTCTCCAGGTTGACAATTGATAAAGTGAAGTGGCTTAGCAAACTGTGGTTACATGGAGCATTAAATAAAGAGAATACGCTGCGCTTTCCTTGCACAAACCATGGCTCTTCAGCAAACTGAGGAACAGACGTGCCTGTGGAAATCCACGGATGGGTTAGCCAGTACACAGCCTGAAAGGAACTGCTCTGCTCTCTTCAAGACCGTGCTTGCAAGCACACTCTTTCCATTTGGCAGGAGGTTTTTCTGAATGACATCAAGCTTTTGCAAAGGAGCTGCATAGCTGAGGAATGCAGCTGGGACAGATAAACCTAAAGGCTGAGAGCCAAAAGAAAAAAAAAAAATATCCCTACCACTTACACCCTTCCTCCACGCCTATTTCAAAGTCCCCCAGACCTCTTGTTTGCTGCAGTCATTTCCAAGGATGCCTAGATGCTGCCTTGCAGCTGCTGTGTTCAATGTATGTCTAGATTTTCTGTGCTTCCTTACGAATACTGGAGGAGGTAGGAAGGAAGGGTGCCACTGCTGCCTTCCATATGCCTTATATTGCTATTGCCTTTTCGCTTTAATCCATGGCAGTCAAACAATGGGCTAGGTGAGGCAGCCGCAGAGGTCTGCCAAAGGAAAACGATTTGGGCTGGGCTTTTTTTTTTTTTTTTTTTTTTTCACCACAGACAACAATTTTCCTTAGCAACTGGG